ATGGATATTCCAGAGACACAGCGGGAGAGGATGAATGATATGGCCAATTTTCAACCTGAAGCTATGAACAAATATTACATTTGTTTTTTTCCTGCAGATATAGCTATTGATTGTATAGTAGAAACAAACGTTTGTGTCGGCCATGCGCATGATTTTTAGACGCCTGTTGAGGAAACAGATTAATGAATGGTTGAAAACGGTGCGATTGAACAAATCTACTTGTTCCCATGTTCGACATCTGGCTCTGAAAAACAGGTAAAATAGAATAGAGAGAGAGAGCTGCCATAAATATTCTTATTAGTATTGCAATCAGTTAACAATCAAAATTATTTTGTACTATGGTTCATTAGCTATTTGCGAGATACCTTCCTATCCATATCCAATTAGTCTGGCATCTTGTGTCAAACTTTCCAATCTAGCAGATACAGAGAAACTGAGTAACGATAAATGGCCATTGGAAAAAGTACTCCCTAAACTTTGCCACAGCCTTTACGGCATCTTTACAAAATTCCGACTCTCAGTGGTACTTGAGGCAGATTTAATCGCTACTATGGTACAAAGACTACGACACTAGCTCTCCCCTATTGATTTTTGTTCATAAAAGTGACTAGTCCTTTGTTGGGTTCTTGTTACCGTCTAAGAGATGATGCTAGCTGAACTGTCTAGTAGGAATCAATGCTTTCCGACAATTACCAGTGACCTATTCAGCGCATGCCGCAGCATTCTCATCTTAGTTAAAATGTATTATCAAAAGTTTGACTTTTCATTAACCAACTTTGGCAGAGGTGGGCTTTATTTTTTCATTATGTCTTGAGCGCTGCTAGACGATGCACTGATTCTCTTTTGAATGGAGTTGAAAGCTTGAGAACTCATTGTCTTTCAGACAAATTGAGACGCAACGCAAAGAAACCAAAAGGGCTTCAAATAGCTAATAAGTTCTCACTGTATAACTAAGAATATAATAAGAAAACTTTGTTCGTATGCAGTGCCTTACACTGTTAATTTCCGAACCTACCCTGCGGAGTACAAGAGTTTGCATGTTGCCATAGCGTTGCAAAGGTCTCTTTTATTTAGATATGAAAGTATTTCTATGACAACATTGTCCGGAAGGGGTGATCCTCGGTTGCTAGCATGAAAGAAATCTAAATTTTCAAATAAATTTCCAATGATGGACTGATAGAAGCAGTTAACTGTTAATCACAGAATAAGTATGTGAGCAAACACTCACCAATAAATGGACCACTGCTCACACGACGACAAAATTTAAACGCTCCCGGCGTACGATAAAAGGTGAGAATGTCAGGCTTCATCCTTATCCTAGAGTTAATACTTCTCGGGATATAAAAAAAAATGAGAAAAACAGTGTGAGATTGAGTAAGAAGAATAATAGTAACCTACTTGTTTATACCTGACTCATCCATGTCCATTGCCTCCGAGCTGTTCCTGTGGCGTTTCCGTTCTTTAAGCAAGGTGAACCCGTCATCCTTTGCTGCAGTCTCTGCACAAACATAAACAGGAAGACATATATTAAACGAATTAAATTAAATCCTGACCTGACATATGCTGATTGGAATCAGGTGTCAGAACCGAATATCGTAAAAATTCCACTTCTGAAAACGCAGTCCTACGAGGAGACCGTGACAGTTTTACAACACCTAAGAAAAATGACATGGAGCTTCTATGATGTGAGGGAGTAATCAATGCAAGCGTGGAACCTTCAGGTGGATCCAGTGATGACATTACTGCATCAGAACTGTCGTATGTCATACAGAGACAGGGGTATCGCAACTCTTAAAAAATGCAGAGCTGATTAATGCAGTTTCCACTAACAACGCCGCTTCCAAGTTGGTAGGTCAAACAAGGAGGACAGCACACCTCATAAAAATAAGTACGTTTTGGATAATGGTGCAGCTCAAAACATTTGATTTCGCGCTTTCTTCGCAGTTATTGCATTAGAGCACGTTAGCTCATAAAAATAAGGGAACAAACTGCAAAAAAGTTGAGGAAGCTTTAGATGCTAGCAACAATTTCCTTAAAATTTTGATTGACTGAAACTTTGCATAAAGAATGCTAATCAGCTGAAATCGCTTCAGTTATGCATTATTCCTAATCTAAGCTGCATTTTTTTGTCTTTTCCGTTGGCTTTGGATAGATTCAGCACTGTTAGTGTTGGATCTCGTTTTTGTATGTTTCTACTAATACTC